CTTTTCATGTCGGGAGGACGTCCCAAAGCGCTTCACAGAACACACTGTAAAGTGAATTGACTGTATATTTGTGGGCAAACGCGGCAGCCAATTGCGCACAGCAATGTCCCACAAACAGTCGTAGATTGAAAATGACCAATTTATTATTGTTTTTGGAGGGATTATTATTAGGCGTGTGGAGTAAGGAAACTTGCCCAAGGTTTCACCCTGACTGGAATTGAACTCAGGTATCTCACTTACAAAGCAAGTGCTCTAACCACTGAGCTACAGGACTCCTTCTCTTTTCCAATAGTGCCATGGGATCTTTAACATCCACCTGAACAGGCAGACAGAACCTCATAGAATCATACAATCTTGCAGCACATATAAGGAGACCATTCAGCCCATTGTACCTGTTGCAGCTCTTTGAAAGAGCTATGCAACTAGTCCCATAACCTTCTCTTACCCCATAGCCCTGCAAATGTTTTCTTTTTAACTACCTATCCAATTCCCTTTTGAAAGCTACTATCGAATCTGCTTCCACCATCCTTTCAGGCAGTGCAGTCTACATCATAACGACTCTCCGGGAAAATAAATTCTTCTCATCTTCCCTCTAGTTCTTTTGCTAATTATTCCACCAGAGGAAACAGTTTCTCCCTAGCTACTCTTATCAAAAACCCTAATAATTTTGAACACCTATATTAAATTTCCCCTCAACCTTCTCTGCTCTAAGTAGAATAATCCCAATTTGAGCAGAAAGCCAGCAGTGTGAGGAGGGAACTGAGTGAGATGGAACAGAGTGAGAATTTTGTCAAAGTGAGAGTGGGAATTCTTCAGCAAGAGAGATACCAGAGAGCAAGAGAGATACCAGAGAGCAAGAGAGATACCAGAGAGCAAGAGAGATACCAGAGAGCAAGAGAGAACTGTTTTATTTAGCAGAATAGTGGGAAATCTATCTTGAGGTAGAGGCAACTTTATATGTAAGCAGGCAAACAAGTCAATTAGTAGTTAATCATATGCCAGGGGTTAGGGATTAAAAAATCTGATGACCAGTTGAAACTGGGTGCTTTTGAGCAGAGAGCCCAGCAGCTTGAGGAGGAAACTGAATGAGATGGAACAGAATGAGAATTCTGTTAAGGAATTCAGTGCAGAGGGGGAAAGAGGTGTATAATTATAAAATATATAATAGTTATATTAAAATAATATAAAATATCTCTGGAAATATGGCAGCGCAGTTAAGACTGGTTGCATGCACAATGTGTGCTATGTGAGAACTCCAGGATGCTTTGTGTGTCCTGGATAAGCAAGTGTGTAGGAAGTGCCTCCGGCTGCTCAAGCTTGAGCTCAGGGTTTCTGAATTCGAGGAGAGGCTGGAGTCACTACATAGCATACAGGAAGTTGAAGAGTTCATGGATCAAACATTTCAGGAGGTGGTCACGCCACAGAGAGTTCAGAATGAGAGTGAGTGGGTGACCAACTGGCATGGTAGGAAAAGGGAACTTCCTACCATGTTCCCTCATGGTAGAAAGTTGAGAGGAATCGAAAGCAAATGCATGCGCAGGGGGACACAGGGAAAAGTGTCAATGCAATTGTCATTGGGAATACAATGGTAAAAGGAGTAGACAGGCGTTGCTGAAACCAAAGATGTGACTCTCGCGTGGTATGTTGCCTTCCTGGTGCCAGGGTTGAAGATATCACGGAACGGATGCAAAACATTCTATAGGGGGATGGGGAACATCAAGAAGTCGTGCTCCATGTTGGAATCCATAACGTAGGGGAAAAAAGGGCTGAGATCCTACAGGGAAAGCATCAGAAGCTAGGGAAAACGCTACAGAGTAGGACCTCAAATGTGATGATCTCTGTATCAAAACAGCAGGATCAAACACATGAAAGCATAGCTGGAGAAATGGTGCAAACAGGAGGGCTTCAGGTTCCTGGATCATTGGGCCCAGTTCTTGGCAGGTGGGACCTGTACAAGGTGGATGAGTTACATCTGAACAGGGCTAGGACCAATGTCCTCACAGGGAGGTTAACTAGTGCTGTAGGGAAGGGTCTAAACTAATTTCGATGGAGAAAGGGAATCAAGATGTAGCATTAGAGAAGACAAACAAGTTATACAGATGGCTAGAAGAGATGAATAGCAATTAATAAGGAGTAATCCAGAAAAATTGTGGAGTCCTGTAGCTCAGTGGTTAGAGCACTCGCTTTGCAAGCGAGAGACCTGAGTTCAAATTCAGGCAGGGCGAATCCTTGGGCAAGTTTCCTTACTCCACACGCCTAATAATAATCCCTCCAAAAACAATAATAAATTGGTCATTTTCAATCTACGACTGTTTGTGGGACATTGCTGTGCACAATTGGCTGCCGCGTTCGCCCACAAATATACAGTCAATTCACTTTACAGTGTTCTGTGAAGCGCTTTGGGACGTCCTCCCGACGTGAAAAGCGCTATATCAAACGCAAGGATTATTATTATTATTAAAAAGGAGCAATTAGATGGAGAGAAATGCAGAACAGACTAAGTCGGTCTTGGAGTGCATACGTTTAAATGCAGGGAGTGTAACAAATAAGATTGGTGAGCTGCAGGCTCAAGTTGGCACATCGGGTTATGGTGTGCTCAAACAATGGGAATGGGAGCTGAGTATTCCTGGCTATAATGTATTCAGAAGAGATAGGGAAAGAAAAAAGGAGGGGTGACAATACTGATTAAAGACATGGTTACGGCCCTGGAAAGGGATGATGTGCTACAGGGTCCAAAAACAGAATCTATTTGTTTAAAATTAAGGGACAGAAAAGAAGCTGTTACTCTATGATTACTATAGACCACCAAACAGTGGGAAGGAGATAGATGAGCAAATCTGCAAGCAGATTTCAGAAAGATGCAAAACCAACAGAGTAGTGATAATGGGCGACTTCAATTATCCTAAGATAGACTGGGAAAATAACAGTGTAAAGAGCAAAGAGGGTGAAGGATTCCTGAAGTGTGTGCGGGAAAACTTTCTGGATCGGTATGTTTCCAGCCCAACGAGGAAGGAAACAGTGCTGGATCTGGTTCTGGGGAATGAAGTGGGGCAAGTGGAGTAAGTTTCAGTAAGAGAATATCTGGACAACATGATCACAACATCATTAGGTTTAGAGTACTTATGGAAAGGGACAAGGCACAATCAAAAGTGAAGATACTCAACTGGAAGAGAACACCAATTTTAAAATAGTTATTAAAAGAAACGGGAGGAGAGGAGAATTTTTTTTCACACAGCGAGTTGTTCGGATCTGGAATGCATTGCCTGAAAGGAAGCCGATTCGGTAACAGCTTTTAAGAGAGAAGTAGATAATTATTTGGGGAAGACAAGTTTGATGGCTATGGGAAGAGTGGGATTGATTTGGATAGCTCTCTTCAAAGATCCGGCACAGACACGATGGGCCAAATGGCCTCCTTCTGTGCTGTGTAATTCTTTGATTCTATGATGATTCCTCCCTGTCGGTCCTCTTTCTCCCTTGCCCAGCATTCAATCCTGTCTTTGTGAAGTGCTTTGTGATGTAATACAATGTGAATCACACTATATAAAAGTAATTTGTTTGATATGTAACTTGCCCCTCCCCCAGTATCTGTCTCAAGGTGTATGTAACTCCACCTTTCAGACTCTAATTTCCTCATGAGATTTTCTTTCCAAAATTTCAATCCAGAACTCAAAGAGTTAAAATTCCAGATTGCTTCTGAGCTGTAAAAGGAAAAACCTGCCAGCTCGGAGATAAAAAAAATATCAGCAGCAAATAAGAAAGATTTGCTGGATTGTGTGGGAGATTATTCCCTGTTTGATGAGGTGTTTTCGTCAAACAATTAACAGTCATCAGCAGTTAATGGTCGTAAAATTACAGAGAAGTCCCTGGAGACATGTGAGACTCTTAGCTCTGTCACTTGACCTTAGCTGTAAGAGAGGATCTGTGATGAGGAACAAACTGAAAATGTGGCAGACAGGGAAGCAGGATAGCCCCCGACCACAGCTGGGTTCCGCGGCATGCTTCCCCCTCGTCTTACTGTAAATTACTGTTACTAATGACGCAGTCAACAACTGCGAAAGATCTTTCGTCTTTAGCATTGCTCTCCACTAATGAACCACAGAGTGTGACTCACACTTGTTTAAATGCATGGATTTTGTTCTTTAAAAAGAATAGCTTTCATACCCCCTCTCCAACAATTTCCTCCCTCTTCTCTCCTGGAGTTTGACTTGTCGTTCGACTGCTTTGACTGCTTCGCAGGCAGACACTACTTGTTCTCTGGTGTCTTGCCCAAGTACCCATTATACGTCAGCCTCAAGTAACCTTCCTGCTTCCCGGATCCTTCGTTGAGCACTAGCTGCAACCATGGCAACTTTCTCACCTGTAAATTTCCATTAGTAACATTAAATACGTGGCGAATCACCCAGTTCCACTGTAAACTACCAACACACTGCCAGCTGGAGCTATTCACACCCAACACCCACTGCATCCTAATACAGTAAACCTCACATAAGCTGTATCAGTTGGGACCATACATTTAATATGAGTTAAGCCAAACTTGCATAATTTGTATCATATATGACTTATGTACAGTTATGCATAAGTCGGATTTCATATGACTAACATAACAAATACACAAGTACTGAACTGGCTGGTAACGTTAAGGCAGGGTTTCTGTACCATGTTTAATACTTCAGGTGGAGTTCCGTCCTGGAGCGCTTGACAGTGGTGAGGTCCGGGCGGTAGAGTTTTGAATTAGTAGAATTTTGTGTATGGAGTGTATGAGGGCTCACTTCCCCCCCATCCCACCGCTAGCTTACCTCCACCCAGATCCCACCTTGCTCAGTTCCCCCTGACTCAGCTCGGCCCCCCCCCAACCTCGGCTCAGGTGCGTGTTGCAGCTTTGTGTGAAATGCTTTGTGACGTCCTGCCATAAGGCACTGTATCAATTTAAGTTGCACTGTTGTCTCCTCGATTTGCTGAGCTGTGTGCCTGACTGCATTTCTTTCCCTTGTTTTGAGCAGCCCACAGAGATGACTCTGGACCTGCAGCAACTACAAGCCTTCGATGAGCTCCGCCGCCTGTACAGAGGCCCCTCCAGGGTACAGTCTGTTCTTTTACTAATCTAGGGGATACCAAGGACCTGTCAGCGCCCATTGTGATGCTGGCAGTTGATATCATGGTCACGGTTAATGTAAGCCTGACGAGGCTGTCTGTTGCGTGAAGCAGTGGGCAGCACCTCATCTTCTTTGCAGTGCCATCCTTGCTGGGCTGTTAGCATGGGAATACAGTGATGGCAAGACCAGAATGTACAAGACCCTGAAAGAATGGCTGATTGTAAAAGATAGTGATAGTGGAGCGAAAACCGCAGAAAGTTCATTGTAACCCAGGGACTTTGGAAAACAATAAATACTAATTACATTTGTATAGCGCCTTTCATGTTGGGAGGATGTCCCAAAGCGCTGGACAGTCAAGGATTTGCACCTGAGCTGGGGTTTGACATCAGGAGAGGTGGAGGGCAAAGAGGTGGGGTTAGGAGGTGACTAAAGATGCGGTTGCAGAGGAAGGTCTTGAGACAGGCCTTCAAGGAGGCGAGGCAAAGGTTCTGTGGGATGGAGTTCCAAAGGGTGGGGGCAGAAAGACTGAAGGCTCATCGTCGCTGGTGAGGCGGGCATGGCGGAGTCGTGGAGCAGGCGAGAATCCGCTGAGAGGAGGAAGCGGACAGGCCTGTAATGGGTTAGCAGGTCATAGAGGTATGGAGGAGAAAGACCACTGAGGCTTTTGATGGTGAGGACAAGGATTCTGCAGCATGTGGAGAGAGGAGTTGGGAAGACTGACAAGCAGGGAAAATGAACAGCTGATTATAACAACAAACACGTAGGCTCCTTTCAAATATTAGATACTTGATTTAACACCTGTCTTATAGGTCTTACTATATTAATATAGTAAGGTCTATACAAGGGGCTGCAGAGGAGATTTACTAGGATGATACCCGGGATGAGTAGTTTTATCAGCATCAAAGTGAACTGTGACTTTTTCTATTGCAACATAAGGTTGAAGGGTGACCTGATTAAGGTCTGTCCGAAGTGGGGAAGAGAAGAATAGAAATGTAGTTGTGATAGGGGATTCAATTCTTAGGGGAATAGATAACATCCTCTGTAGTCAAGAACGAGAATCCAGAAGGGTGTGTTGTCTTCCTGCTGCCAGGGTAAAGGACATCTCAATGTAGCTGAAGAGGAATTTGGAAAGGGAGGGGGCAGATCCCATTGTCATGATCCATGTTGGGACAAACGACATAGGAAAAAACAGGGAGGAGGTCCTGTAGAGGGAGTTTCAGGAGTTAGGAGCTAAGTTAAAAGACAGGACCTCGAGGGAACTAATCTCTGGATTATTACCCAAACCACATGCGAATTGGAATAGGGAGAAACAGATTAGGAAAGTTAACACGTGGCTAAAGAATTGGTGTGGGAGGAAGGGTTCCACTTCATGGGACACTGGCACCAATACTGTGACAGGAAGGAGCTGTACAAATGGCACGGGCTCCACCTGAACCGGAAGGGGACAAAAGTCCTAGCGGAAAGGGCTGTGGCAAAGGCTTTAAACTCATAAAAAGGGGGGAGGGATCAGAAGGAAATGACTCAAGCCAGACAAAAGTAAGAAATAAGGAGAATATAAATGGTCAGGGAATAAATACAATTATAGAACAGAAGTGTGAAAAGACTGTCAAAAATAAAATGAGAGAAACAATTAATAATAATGAATTAAACTGTCTGCATACCAATGTACACAGCATCCAAAATAAAACAGGAGAACTGGAGGCAATAATTCGTAGTGAGGAACCAGATATAATTGGGATTACTGAAACGTGGCTACAAAAAGAACAGGACTGGCAATTTAAAAAAAATACATATAACGTATTTAGAAAAGATAGAGATGGGAAAAATGGCGGTGGAGTAGCTGTACTAGCCTCGCTTCCTCCCTTGCTCCTTTAAGGCCGGTCTCAAGACCCTCCTCTTCGATCGTGCCTTTGGTCACCCTCCCACCGCTCTGCCTTCTCCCACCCCTACCCCATACCTCCCCCATGCTCGGGTCCTGACCCCTAACTGTCCAGCCGACGTGATTCTTCCCGATGTGAAAGCCGCTCTATAAATGTAATAATAATAATCCTTGCATTTGATATAGCAATTTTCATGTCTTCTAGACATCTCAAAGTGCTTCACAGAATATACTGTAAAGTGAATTTACTGTATATTTATGGGCGAATGCGGCAGCCAATTGCGCACAGCAGTGTCCCACAAACAGTCATGGATTGAAAATGACCAATTTATTATTGTTTTGTTTTTTTGGAGGGATTATTATTAGGTGTGTGGAGTAAGGAAACTTGCCCAAGGTTTCGCCCTGTCTGGAATTGAACTCAGGTCTCTCACTTGCAAACCCAGTGCTCTAACCACTGAGCTACAGGACTCCATGTAATTTTGTTGTTGTTGTACTTGTTAGGGATAACATCATGGGAGTAGAAAAAAGGGACTTCAGACAGTTTTGAAAGTTTGAGTTTCAATGTTTGATTAGCCCTCTCCACCAATCCTGCAGATTGAGGATGGTATGGACAGTGAAACTGCTGTTTGATGTTTAATTGGTCACAAAGTTCTTTGTTTATCCGGGCTGTAAAGTGTGGTCCGTTGTCTGAGCTTATACAACTGGGAATTCCAAATTGTGGTATTATTTCTCTTAATAAAATTTTTACAACTGTTTCTGCAGTGTTGCAGGTAGTTGGATAAGCTTCTATCCACTAACTGAATACATCTACAATTACTAGACAATATTTGTAACACTGAGTTTTTGGCAATTCAATGAAATCTAGTTGAATTGTATCAAATGGCCCTGCTGGAAGAGGAGTACGGCCTAGGGGCATGGTGTTCCTTTTCCAATGTTAAATTTTTGGCAAATTAAACATCTTTGTATTACTTTTTGGGCGCTTTGGTCAAATAAGGGGCTCCACCATGATTGGAGTAATAACCCCATCATTCCCTCCTTGCCAGCATGCGTTTGTTGATGAACAATATCAACTAACCATGGTAGTAAGCTAAGTGGAACACAACACTGTCCGGCCGGAGTTAACCATAATTTTAAATTGTCATCATATGTACATCCATTGTTTTCCCATTCTGTTATTTCATCTGTAGAGGCCTCTTTTTGTAATGAGATAACGTCATCTAAAGTTGGCATCTTTTTTACCTCAGAATCTGACTGTATCCCTGTGGATCTTTGAGCCATATTCGTTATTTTAGGAACAATTAATTTTTGCTCTCGAGATGCCAATTTAGCTGCTGCTCGTTGTCAACTGCTGAAGTCCCTGTTGTATATTCCGCCTTTACTTTAATTTCTTTATTTTCTTTTAATTTTTGTTCTAAATTATCTGAAGCTGTCTGATCCCAGTAGTAGCGAATTGACCTACCCATTTGAGCCTGCGTGTTTTCCTGCCAATTCATGTTGTTGGTTTTAACCATTTCAGCTACTTTTGCTGGAACTGATTGTAAAACCAAAGCATTATATTGTGGCGATGGTCGCCCTGCCAAATAAGTTGTGTCGCCGGAGAATTTTTCATAAATCTGGTTGTACTTTATCATGAATTCGTCAGCTTCGTCTTCCTTTTTAGCTTTACAATCTAGTATTTTGGATACATTAACGGGGCTTGCCAAAACTCACTCTACTGCTGCCAGTAGAGTTTCCTTTTGATTTTCTGGGTCGGCATATCTGTTAGCAAAAGCTTCCCAATTATCAACTTCCACTGCTGCTTTAAACGCTGCCCACTGTGTTCTATTGAGCGCGATCTGTATTAGTAACCAAAGATCCTCTCCTGTTGCCCCATACACCTGTGTAGTAAGCAGCAGGTAATCTCTAAATGCTCTAGCATCTTTTCATTTATCGGGGGCTTGTTGGAGAATGCCGTGTAATTCCGACGGCTTCCACGGGCTCCAGACTCATATTGGTTGATTGCCTGCGGGGTTTGGGAACATCCTATTTCGACATTGTCTAGCACCTTCTGTCTGCGCAGTAGTGTATTCTACTGTTTGTGGATACAGAGGCAAAGAGGGAGGCGTATCGTGTGACTGGGTTCGGTTCGAAACTGGGTCTACGAATCGACCGGCATCCTGAGGAGGAGCAGTGGGCACGGTACTGACGGCCCCGCCGAGCAGCTGGAATTGACGGTTCTACAATTTGTAAAGCTGGTGGTTGATGATCAGTCAACCAACATATTATATCGTCTTCTATTTCCGAATCTGAATCGTCGGCAACTTTAGACTGTGCCTTTTGTATAGCTCTCTCCGCTTTTTGCTTGCTTATTTCTTTCCTTTCTTTTTTATCTTTAACCCTACACTCTCCCATCAATTCTTCTACTTCCTTATTATTTCCTTCACTATTTAGGATACTAATGCCCCTCTTTCGCGCATTATCTTGCCAACTGGCTACCACTGACTTGTTCTTTCTTTTTTCACCTTCTATCCATTTTTTAATGGCTAACTTAATTTTTAACCCCTTTCCACAGCCTCGTTTTTTCCATATTGCATTTTGTATTTTTATTAGTTTTTCCAAATCCCAAGTACCTCCTTGAGGCCAACCTTCTAATTGCTTGCTCGCCTGCCCAGATAGTAATCTGAATTTAGTCTCGTATTCAGGATATAATGTGCACATAATTTGGACCGGATCCTTTGGGCTACTTGCTTTGTCAAGTACTGTACCCATTTTTTTTCTTTACGAATTACACTAAAACACAACTTATAACACTCGATACCACAAATAACGAAACAAAAACGAATTTCACTAAAACACTGTTGTACTTGTTAGGGATAACATCATGGGACAGAGCCAACAGTAAGACAGAAACAGAATCTGTGTGGATAGAGATAAAAGATCACACAATCACACAAATAGGGATACTCTACCGACCACCTAACAGTGGAAGTGTTGAGTTGTAACTTTTTCCCCATTCATCCCAACCGTTGTCTTACAAACAGACCATACACCGTGGATATATCCAATGTTGAGATTTAATGTTGAGATTTAATTGCAATTAAAAGAGCTGATTCAAGAACAGTCAACA